GACTCGACTACCATAATCAACTACCCTCTCCATGCCCTGGACAAGCTGGGAAAGGACTGCCCCGATGCCCGTATCGCTGGCTTCCGTGTCCAATATGAAGGGCCTCACAAAATCGGTATAAGCGAGTGGGGGGGGGGGGGGGGCATCGGCAAGGGCGACGCGGAGGGCAAGGAAGGAATCCTCCTCAGCCTTATCCCACCAAAATCTTTGGCCCTTGGCCATGAGGGCGTGTAGTGGTTTAGCAAGAGTGGCAAAATCTTTAACAAACCACCGGTAGTAAGAAGCGAATCCGACCAAGCTGCGTACCCCCGTTACCGATTTAGGCGTCTGCCACTTGCGCACGCACGTGGTCTTCTCTGGATCTGTGGCAACACCGGTCGTGCTAATGATATTTCTGAGGCTTGAATTTCAACTTAGCCGCATGTACTATCTCAAAGACCGAGTGCAATTGCTTTAAGTGTTCGTTAAAGGTACTGCTAAAACGATGTCTTCCAAATAAATAAGGCAAGAATTCCATTGTTGCCCTGCTAGGACCAATTCCATTATTCGCTGAAAGGTGGCTGGTGCTGAATTCATCCCATCGGAAGACAATTTAAGTGGTAGAGCCCTTGGGGCGTGTGAAAAGCGGTTTTTGGTTTTGATTCGTCATCGAGGGGCAATTGCCAAAACCCGTACAGTAAATCGAGTGTCGAAAGGAATCGTGTGCCCGACAATGCATCGAGCAAGTCGTCCATACGAGGGAGGGGATATGCATCTGCCACCGATATCTTATTTAACTTGCCCCCACGGGTTATTAGATGATAATTTTAAAGGGCATTCTGCATAGAAAATTGGTGCCCAGCAAACAGGGCACAGCCAATGTCTGTGAAACTAATATCTGGCCTTCCAAAAATATTTCCCCAATTTGCACAGATGCAAACATCTGGCCTATTATACCAAGACTCCCCCCGTTAGCCACTACACAAGCGCTCTCTATAGGGGCAAGAGGATCAGACGACGAAGACAATGTACGAAACACAGTCTCGGAAACCATAGATGCAACGGCCTCTGTGTCTATCAACAGACGAACCTGGATCCCCTGAATCAATCCCACAATTGTTGAAGAACCCGCCGCAGCGCCAACTACATGACGAGCCAGTGCATTCCACTGCTCGACACCGTGTGGCCAATACGCTAGCGACCCCGCACCTCACATACGAGTCGCGACGAGATGAGATGTTACAGGATGATTATGCACGTGACCTATGCTAGATGGATGATGGGATAAAAACGGCCGTGTGTCTGATGCATCCGGACTCGCCTGTATATTGCAGGAGAAGGAGTCGTTAAAACCAGCGGATGGATGCGGCAGGAACCCTCCGGTACCGCGGCGGCAGTCGACGGCGATGTGGCCCATGCAGCCGCACCTGTAGTAGGTACGGTAAGGACGCCTAGGCGGCTGGATCAGCCTTGGGCGCTATTCCCGTGCAGATGGGAGCCGTCCAACGCTCCTTCCTCCGTCCCCAGGGCGAAGGAGGCACACGCCTGCTCATCCACGGCTGGCTCTGCTGCACTGGCCGCCACTGCCGACCAGTCTTTGAGGTTGAGGTGCGCTTGGATGTTGCAGGCAACCTGCAGAGATGTCAGGTCGTCTTCCTCAGCCACCACGAGAGTGACCTCCAACTCCTGAGCCAAGGAGAGAAGCAGTTCCAAGGCGAGGGAATCCAAGGGAAAGCCGCGTGTCCCAAGGCAAGGAGAGAACTGCAGTATGCCAAAGGTGTCTCGTACTCACCTCATCGCTGCAGCCGGAATCTTCTACGAATATTAGACGAGGGATAAAAATAGCGGCCATCTCAGTGTAGGGGTGCACGATGGTCGCTCTATCCGACTTGGGGATGGTGAAAAAGGCGGCTAATGAGTCGTCGTCCAGGGCCGTGGGAAGAGCTTGAAGCGCCTCCTGGGATGTCCATCCCACCGAGATGTAGGCAGCCTCGAATCGACAACGAAAAGTCGTCCAATCTCCTCCTTCAGCAGTGAACTGACATGCCGGTGGCAACTGTCAGGCATTGGGAGTGACTTCCATCTTGGAAGTCGGCGGCTGCTGCTGCGGCGCGGCTCGATTGCACGAAATGGTGGACTTGTGGAGCACGGCTGCAGCCTCTGAAACGGCGGGAAGGTCCAGCGCTCCCGTCACCTCAGTCATGACCGCGGTGGGGAGCGCGTCTTGGCGTCCAGTGGTCGTCACAGCCATTATCCGCTCGAGCAGATGAGCGGCGGCCAACAGCAACCTCCCCAGGTGACCGGTGATGTCCAGCCAGCTCTGCGGAGGAGGCGGCTGGGCTGGACTCGCCATGCACTCCTGCGTCGACTGCAGCACGTCATCGGAGCAGACGCTCGCAGCTCCAGCAACTGGAGATGTTGGTGGGACGACGTCCTACTCGGCATCGTCATAGGACGACACAGAAGGTGTTTTTTTTTCACTTCATCGCCGACTTGGACATGACGGCGAAGGTTCGTTGCCACTTCTGACACCAAATGTAGTGTCTTGTAAAATCACTCAGACGGACACGTTGTAACAAGTTACCTGCTTACACTTTATTAACCTATTCTTGCACCAGTTGTAGGGACTTCGAGAACTATCTAGACGGCCACTTAGATCTAACTTCTTCCACTCATCTCTACATTACACCTCACCTATCCTGCCACGGCAGCTCTGCTCCCCAGCGACTCCGCACACAGCTTCTTCTCTACACAGGTTTCACACACAGCGTCTCAGCACACAGCTTATTTTCCACACAGAAGCTTGCACACAGCGTCTCTACATCTCCACCTCTGCCCCTGGAGCGGCTGCGGCGAGGTGTCTTCACTCTTGGTTCCTGGCTGCAACTAATGCTTAGCTCACACACGCCCCAGCTTATATCTCCCCGCTCATCCCGAGCCCTCACGTGCTTCCACTCAAGCTCCCGACAAGCCGTCGCCAGTTGGCCCATCAATCAACCTCTTTGACAGCAACCTCCGGTTGCAGCCCATGCACCTGCTTGACCTCGGTTGCACCCTGTTGCTCCCCTTAATTACTGGCAGCCTGCCCGCGCAAAACCCCACGCTGCAGGATGCGCACCTGCCAGCCAATTCTCCGAGAGCTGTCGTGTCTCTTTAAGGCTCGCCAGGCTGGCGCCTCTCAGCCCATTAATCAACCCTTATCTCCCGTCTCCCTGGCAACACCTCCGGTGTCATCGTGCACAACCGGTCGACCCCGTTTGGATCCGCTCAGCCCCCCACCCCACAACTGGCAGCCTGTCCGTGCAAACCTAACGTTTGCATGAACGCACCCGTTTTCCCTCAGTTGCCCTGGGGCCACGTGGCAATGTTGCTGCTTCCCCTGGGGGCCACGTGGCAATGTTGCAGCTACCCCTGGGGCCCACGTGGCAATGTTGCTGCTACTCCTAGGGGCCACGTGGCAATGTTGCTGCTACCCCTGGGGGCCACATGGAAATGTCCCAGCAGTGTTACGTGTGGACGACTTATAAAGGTGCGGTGATTGGACACCATGCACGAGAGAGTCATTGGCGAGACGAAGCGCGTACGAATCGGCCAATGTGAAATAATTATGGAATGTGAGTCGGTGTGGTGACCTGCAACGGGATCCTGACCTCACTGACGGCACTCAAAGTGCAGCCTCCCAAGCGTTACCTGGCGAGTGAGGAGGGCTCAAGACGTCTCGCGTTGCAGAGCGTCCATTTGTTTTATTTCGGTATGTTTTCATCCGCTTGCAAGCTACTCCGCTAAGCTTCGGGGATACACCCCCACACAACATGGGCAATCGGGCTCAAATATCGACGTTCATTCTGAACGCATTCATTTTCTCAGAACCACGTTGGGTCGGGCGGGGGCGCCGGTTGTCCCCCCCCCCCCCCCATGACAGGTTGAGAAGCCGCTGCTCTGAGTGGTGGGTGAGCTAGCGGACTCACGGTGGAATTCTCACCGCTGCGCCAGACGGGAGTCACGCGGCCCCTTGCCTCTCACTCAGCCGTTTGTCTGCGGCCCTCTCATTCCTGCCGCCGGTCACCCACGGGCCACGTGTTCACACATACACACAAAGATCCCCTGTATAGCCTGCTGTTATCGAGCATCTACGAAGGCTGGCACGGCACACGAGGGGGTGGGTGGGTGGCCAACACCAGGCCAGGCTGTCTTTGTCTCCCCAGTGGCGATGTTTACATGCCACACCAGGTACTCATTTGAGGCCGAGTCGACCTAGGGGAGGCCCAAGAGCGGTTCAGATAATCGTCGCTGGTGTTGGCCGTGAGCAGGAATGGAACTTGGATAACCAGGTTTGTTGTGCAGCGCACTAACCACTGCACTACTGTTCCCCGCACACACACAGAGACACACAACAACCACCATTCGCCACTAAGTGGCGGTTACGTCACCACGACGCTTGTGCCAGGCTATGTGCACGTTGAGCCCACGTGAAGTATCGAACGCCCGCTGGCAGGTCACTCTCTACCTGAGTGTCTGAGTGTCTCTCTCCATTCACTCTCCCTGTCGCACTCTCTACATGAGTGTCTGACTGTCTCTCTCTCATTCACTCTCCCTGTCTCACTCTCTACCTGAGTGTCTGAGTGTCTCTCCACTCACTCCCCCTGTCTCACTCTCTACCTGAGTGTCTCTCTCTCACTCTCCCTGTCTCACTCTCTACCTGAGTGTCTGAGTGTCTCTCCACTCACTCCCCCTGTCTCACTCTCTACCTGAGTGTCTGACTGTCTCTCTCTCACTCACTCTTCCTGTCTCACTCTCTACCTGAGTGTCTGAGTGTCTCCACTCACTCCCCCTGTCTCACTCTCTCCCACCACCCCCCTCCCTCCCTCATCCCCCTAGCCCAGGTGACTTCATCGTCACCAGCGCTCCTCCCACTCCTCTCCTCCAGTCATTGTCGCAATTGAGAGAGAGTGCGCTCACTCTCCCTCTCCCTGCCGCTCCCTCCCCGTGGGGAGAGTGAGAGAGTGGGGTGGGAGGGAGGGCACAGGCAGTGGGAGAGAGGGAAGAGAGATGGAAGCGAGAGAGGTGTAGAGAGAGCGTAAGAGAGAGGTGGAAGAGAGAAAATAATCGAGGGAGAGAGATCAAGAGAGAGGGTGGGGGAGTGCGAGGGAGCTCCGTGGAGCTCGCCTGCTCTGCGTGCGGTGCTGGGGGTTGCCTCCGCTCCGTTGTCTCCGCTTCGCTGTCTCTGCCGTCGCAATGGACGCACGGTGGCTGGAGCGAGCCGCCTCGCTCTGCGGACTCTGCCCCAGCACCGCGGGTAGGACTCACAGACACGCGGACTCGACGACACGCAGACACACGGACACGCGGACTCACGGACACGCGGACTCACGGACACACGGACACGCGGACTCACGGACACGCGGACACACGGACACGCGGACTCACGGACACGCGGACTCACGGACACGCGGACTCACGGATACGCGGACTCACGGACACGCGGACACACGGACACGCGGACACACGGACACGCAGACTCACGGATACGCGGACTCACGGACACGCGGACACACGGACACGCGGACTCACGGACACGCGGACTCACGGACACGCGGACACACGGACACGCGGACACGCAGACACGCAGACTCACAGACACGCGGAATCACGGACACGCGGACTCGCGGACACGCAGACACACGGACACGCAGACTCATGGACACGCAGACTCACGGACACGCGGACTCGCGGACACGCAGACACACGGATACGGGCACTGGTCGACCGTTTGACGAATGGACAGGACAAACAAGTGAACTACGTATACGCACACAGACAGCCAGACGGATACATAAACGGAAGGGCCAATGGATGGGTTGATGGAGAGACACAGGCACGCGTTATGGGTGGACGGACGAACTCACGCGCAAATCGATGGACACATTGATGGACGGGCGCATGGTGATGCACATGGACGGATCGCACTGATGGACAGATCGAAGCACAGACGAATGAGTGCATTGACACATTGACAGATGGAGCGGCACTCCGATATACGTACTGCACACACAGACAGACGCACAGACAGACACCGACAGACACACAGATGGGCATACACAAAAGACAAAGACGCAGCAGCACACAAAATACAAAGATCCCCCTATAGTCTCAACAGATTGTCGGGGAAAGTGCTGTTAGCGAGCACCCATGAAGGCCAGCATCGCACACGAGGTGGTGGGTGGCCAGCAGCACGCTCGGCTGCCTTTGTCTCCCCAGTGGGGATGTTTACACATCGCACCAGGTACTCATTTGAGGTTGAGACGACCTAGGGGAGGCCCAGGACTGGTCCAGATATTGGTCACCGATGTTGGCCGTGAGCGGGAATCGAACTCGAGTGCGCTCACCCCTACTATACACATGTACACAAAGATCCCCCATATAGCCTTAACAAACTGTAGCGGCAAGTGCTGATAGCGAGCACCTATGAAGGCCGGAACGGTACACGAGGGGGTGGGTAGCCAGCACCACGCCCGACCGCCTTTGTCTCCCTAGTGGCAATGTTTACACACCGCACCAGGTACTAATTTGAGGCCGAGTCAACCTAGGGGAGGCCCGGGACCGGTTCAGATAATCGTCACTGGTGTTGGCCGTGAGGTTCATAGCGCAGCGCGTTAACCGCTACACTATCGCTCCCCACACATGTACACACACACGTGCACACACGTGCACACACGTACATACGCACAATAAACCCACATCTCCCTGATGCAGCGAGCGAAAAGCGTGGAGACCCCATAATTAGGGACCCCCCCACCCCTGCCCCCTTTGTATCCCCTCTGCACCCCCTCGCCATCCCACGCCGCGCTCTCTTCGAGACATCGGCCACAGGCAGCAGCAGCAGCATCATCATCATCTTGTTGTTGTGTTTAAACAACGCCTCCTCACTCAGCTCATGAGACCCGGGCTGGGCTGGGTTACCCGCGGCTGGGGAGACACGGGGCCCGTGGACTACACCGCACGCGTGTGTGGGTGTGTGTACGTGTGTGCGTGTAGGTGTGTGTACACGTGTGTGTGTAGGTGTGTGTACACGTGTGTGTAGGTGTGTGTACACGCGTGTGTGTGGTGTGTACACTCGTGTGTGTGTGTGGTGTGTACACTCGTGTGTGTGCGTGTGTGTAGGTGTGTGTACACGTGTGTGTGTAGGTGTGTGTACACGTGTGTGTGTAGGTGTGTGTACACGTGTGTGTGTAGGTGTGTGTACACGTGTGTGTGTAGGTGTGTGTATGTGTGTGTGTACACGTGTGTGTGTAGGTGTGTGTGTGTAGGTGTGTGTGTGTAGGTGTGTGTGTGTACACGTGTGTGTGTGTAGGTGTGTGCACACGTGTGTGTGTGTGTAGGTGTGTGCACACGTGTGTGTGTGTAGGTGTGTGTACACGTGTGTGTAGGTGTGTGTACACGCGTGTGTGTAGGTGTGTGTACACGCGTGTGTGTGGTGTGTACACTCGTGTGTGTGTGTGTGTGCGTGTGTGTAGGTGTGTGTATGTGTGTGTGTGTAGGTGTGTGTACACGTGTGTGTAGGTGTGTGTATGTGTGTGTGTAGGTGTCTGTGTGTAGGTGTGTGTACACGTGTGTGTAGGTGTGTGTGTAGGTGTGTGCACACGTGTAGGTGTGTGTACACGTGTGTGTGTGTAGGTGTGTGTACACGTGTGTGTGTGTAGGTGTGTGTACACGTGTGTGTGTAGGTGTGTGTACACGTGTGTGTGTAGGTGTGTGTACACGTGTGTGTGTGTAGGTGTGTGTACACGTGTGTGTGTGTAGGTGTGTGTACACGTGTGTGTGTGTGTGTGTGTACACGTGTGTGTGTGTGTGTAGGTGTGTGTACACGTGTGTGTGTGTGTGTAGGTGTGTGTACACGTGTGTGTGTGTGTAGGTGTGTGTACACGTGTGTGTGTGTGTAGGAGTGTGTACACACGTGTACACACACCTACACACACACACACGTGTGTGTGTGTAGGTGTGTGTACATGTGTGTGTGTGTGTAGGTGTGTGTACACGCGTGTGTGTAGGGGTGTGTACACTCGTGTGTGTGTAGGTGTGTGTACACTCGTGTGTCTGTGTAGGTGTGTGTACACGTGTGTGTGTGTGTGGTGTGTACACTCGTGCGTGTGTGTAGGTGTGTGTACACTCGTGTAGGTGTGTGTACACTCGTGCGTGTGTGTAGGTGTGTGTACACTCGTAGGTGTGTGTACACGCGTGTGTGTGGTGTGTGTACACGTGTGTGTGTGTGTGTTTAGGTGTGTGTACACGTGTGTGTGTGTAGGTGTGTGTACACGTGTGTGTAGGTGTGTGTACACGTGTGTGTGTGTAGGTGTGTGTACACGTGTGTGTGTGTAGGTGTGCGTACACGTGTGTGTGTGTAGGTGTGTGTACACTCGTGTAGGTGTGTGTACACTCGTGTAGGTGTGTGTACACTCGTGTAGGTGTGTGTGTGATGGTGTGTGGGGAGCGGTAGTGTAGCGGTTAGCGCGCTGCGCTATGAACCTGGCGACTCGGGTTCGATTCCCGCTCACGGCCAACACCAGTGACGATTATCTGAACCGGTCCCAGGCCTCCCCTAGGTCGACTCAGCCTCAAATGAGTACCTGGTACGGTGTGTAAACATCGCCACTAGGGAGACAAAGGCGGTCGGGCATGGTGCTGGCCACCCACCCCCTCGTGTACCGATCCGGCCTTCATAGGTGCTCGCTAACAGCACTTGCCCCTACAGTCTGTTAAGGCTATACGGGGGATCTTTGTCTTTGTAGGTGTGTACACGCGTGTGTGTACACGTGTGTAAGTGTGTACACGTGTGTAAGTGTGTACACGTGTGTAAGTGTGTACACGTGTGTAAGTGTGTACACGCGTGTGTGTACACGTGTGTAGGTGTGTACACGCGTGTGTGTAGGTGTGTACACGTGTGTGTGTAGGTGTGTAGACGTGTGTGCGTACATTTTTATGTGTAGGGGTTTGCTGCGCTGTGAACCCGGCGACCCGAGTTCGATTCCCGTTCACGGCCAACACCAGTGGCGATTACTGGTCCTGGGTCTCCCCTAGGTCGACTCGGCTTCAAATGAGTACCTGGTGCGGTGTGTAGTAAACATCGCGACTGGGGAGACAAAGGCGGCCGGGCGTGGTGCTGGCCACCAACCCCCTCGTGTGCCGTGCCGGCCTTCATAGGTGCTTGCGAACAGCACTTGCCCCAAACAGTCTGTTCAAGCTATATGGGGGATCTTTGTCTTTGTGTCAGTGTGTACACGCTGACAGCACTTGCCCCAAACAGTCTGTGGGTGCCGACTACACAGGGGATCTTTGTCTTTGTGTACGCGAGTGAGTGGTGGCACCGTGGTGAGCGGATTGCGCGATGGACGAGGCGAGCCAGGGGTTCACGGCCATCATCGTCATTATCGTCGTCGTCGTCATTGTCGTCGTCGTCATCGTCGTCGTCGGGGAATGACATCTGGGAACCGGGAGAGAGAGAGAGAGCGAGGGAGGAGAGGGAGTGATTGAGGGAGAGACAAAGAGAGGGGGTGAGAGAGAGGGGGTGGGAGAGAGGGGTGAGTGGGGAGGGTGGTGAGGGAGAGAGAGGGGGGAGGGGGTGGTGAGGGAGAGAGAGGTGAGCGGGGAGGGTGGTGAGGGAGAGAGAGGTGAGCGGGGAGGGGGTGGTGAGGGAGAGAGAGGGAGAGAGAGGTGAGTGGGGAGGGTGGTGAGGGAGAGAGAGGTGAGCGGGGAGGGTGGTGAGGGGGAGTAGGAAGCCGATAGAGGTTGGAGAGAGCGTAGAGCGGTTGCTGTGAGCCAGCGTTTGGCCCCTCAGCATCGCCTCGGGGAGCGGTGAGATGGTGAAGTGAGAGAGATGGTGAGGGGAGCGATGGTGAGGGGAGAGATGGTGAGGGGAGAGATGGTGAGGGGAGAGATGGTGAGGGGAGAGATGGTGAGGTGAGAGATGGTGAGGGGAGAGATGAGGGAAGGTGAGCGGAGGTGAGGGGATGTACAGTGAGCACAGGGCTCCATCACGGTTGCTTAGCAACGACATGCTGGTTTCCTTGGCAACGCAGGTAGCGGAGCGTATCGGACTGGGGACGGGGGAGGGGCCGCTCACATTGATTAAACACACACACACACACTTACACAACAACAACAACAACCACCATTCGCCACTAAGTGGCAGTGACGTCACCACGACGCTTGTGCCAGGCCATGTGCACATTGAGGCCACGTGAAGTGTCGAACGCCCGTGGGCAGGAGGTCACGGGGCAGATCCAAGTGCCACGGGTCGAC